TGTGAGTTCGAGGCCAGCCTGGGCTACCAAGTGAGCTCCAGGAAAGGCGCGAAGCTACACAGAGAAACCCTGTCTCGAAAAAAAAAAAAATTGTGTATTGATCTATCAGATAAGCATGTATTGAGCAATGCTATGCCCATACACTATAGTAGGCATAGAAGTATAGATAGGCAGACATTCATTCTGACTTTCTAAACATTAAATATCTAAATTTAGCTAAGGAATGGAAAAGGGGTTAGTGCTAAAATACTGTATTTGCAATATATTTGTAGAAAATAGAGGTATTTTATGTGTGTGACCAGGGGCTTTCATTTGCACTGTAGGTGATATACACAAAGTCAGAACAGTCTTCCCACAAATGACTGGATTTCAGGAACTCATATCTAAGCTTAGATGCTGTGAGAGTCTGTGGGAGTCCAGCTTCAACCTGCTCCCACCTTTCAAAGGGTTCTTGGGTAGAAGAGAAAGGAGTTAGGAAATATTAAGTAGAAAGATAGAACTAGACGATGAGGAGAAAGACAGAGACACAGGATAGCATCGGGAGGGCCTGGGTCAATACCCCACGGCCCAGAGCTTTATTCAAAAGGGCTGTTTATAATATGCCAAGGGGAGAGGCAAAAGACCTCCTCCTTATAAGATCAAAGCACACCGTACAGCCAAGTGTAGACCCTTCTAAATACCTGGTAAACACTCCCGTGGCCACAGCATCTCCTATGTAGCCCTGCTGGATAAAGCAAGCTCAGATTCTCTGATCCTGAGTAATTTTGGCCCCCCACAAGATACAAACTGCCTTCTAGAAAACATCAGAATGGCCATGACCACTGTCTTAATTACTATTGCTGTGATGAAACACCACAAAAAAGCAAACCAGGAAGGAAAGGGTCCATCTAGAACAGTCCATCACTGTTGGGGGAAGTCAGTGGGGGAACTCAAACAGGGCAAGACCATGGAAGCAAGAGTTGATGCAGCAGCCGTGGAGAGGTGCTAGTTACTGGCTTGCTCCTCATGGCTTTCTTAGCCAGCTTTCTTATAGAACTCAGGACCACTAGCCAGGGGATGGCACCACCCACAATGGGCTGGGCACTTCCACATCAATCACTACTTAAGAAAATGCCCTGCAGGCTTGCCTATGGTCCAGTCTTATGGAGGCATTTTCTCAGTTGAAGCTCCCTCCTCTCAGATGACTCTATCTTGTATCAAGTTGACATAAAACTGTCCAGCACACCTGAATCTCTAGAGACCTTGCCAGAATTCCAGACCATTAGGCTTCCCCTGCACCTGCAAGGACTCCGGGTCCCAATGCTCTGACCAGGAGGAATTCCCGTAGAGGTGAACCTGCAGTATGACCTGTCCTCAGGCCACGAGGCCCGAATGATACAGGTAGCTAGTCAGCTCCAAATGTCTGCTGGGGCTTACAGCCCAGGGGTTTGGTGGTCAGGAGGCCTGAGAGAGAACATAATATTTAAACATTTCCTTCAAGTTCCCCACGAGTCTCAGCCCAGACCAGAAACAGACTGCGCATAATCCTTGGGCATTTTTTGTTTAGTTCAGACCTTTTTTATTTTTAGCCAGTTGCCAACTTTTATACTCTTAAGAGTGTGAAATTGAATTTCTAGCTTACTAAATACTAGATGATCTGGCTCCATTGGCCCCATTTCCTCTCACGCCATCAACCAGCCAGACTGAGGAGAAAGAGTCTCAGCTCCCTGTTGCCCTCGCCACCACCTGCTCTTTTACACTTGGCTTACTTCACATTTTTAGTTTGAAATACGTTGCCTAAATTCTCTAGATCTCACCATTGTGCGGTAGAGTTTTCTGCTGTAGGCTGTTGAATCTTTGAGACTAGGATGCCCAAATACGGGGGTTCTGTGCCAGGCTGCTGGCAGAAGATCATCCATTCTGTCTAGGTAATGTGGTTGATACAGCACAATCCAGTCTGTTTTGGGATACCTACTAAAGCAATGTGCTAAAGCCAGGAAGAAAGGGACCACAGGACTTCCCAGATTCAATGCCAGTTTATTAGACATTGGTAATCACAGCTTACAAGCTTTATTACCTTTTTTAGGTATTCAAACATGACTGCTAAGAAATATCTTTATAGTAGCTATGGAGGTATTAAGGAAAGACTTTTTATGATATTTATTAATTTTACATAGTACAGACAGCTGACAGAATTTATTCTTACCAGTATCTCTTCAGTCATGAGTCGTGCATCTGTCTTTGTAGTATTGGTTATTAATTTTAATAAAATCCTGTCCTTTTCTACTGTTTTTGCTTTTATCTTCTGAATACATGTGTTCTTTTTTAGGTGGTGGTGGCAGGCACCATAATAATTCAGAATATTGGAGGTAAGCATTGAGAATGGATTATATATGCATATAGTAATGGAACTGGTTGTTCCCTGGCCCCTTGCCTTCCTACAGGTCTAGTAGGGACACTAAATCTCTGTAGATGTAGCCATCTTCAGAAGTCCCCTTTTCTTGTCTCCTGATCTTTCTTGGATCTTTTTAGTAGCACTGGTAAATATGCTTCTAACTTCAGCTTTAGCCAAACCTTGATCGCAGTCTTCTCAGGCCTCCACGGCTGTGGTGGTGAGAGGGTACAGTTTGGAAATGCCCTCCAAGTGATTTCTGAACAATTCTCCCTCTGCTTTCACCCCCTTAACCATTCCCACTGACAGAAACTTCTTTAGAGGGAATAGTGCCCCATGGACTTTGTGAACAGTCAGCTGTGCCCAGTGTCCCCTTGGAGCTAAGAAATTAAAAATGACCAAGTAGTTTATAATATGTCTAAGGACAAGAGGCATCCTCAAGTTTATCTTTCCCTGGTTCCTACTAAAAATTGATCATACAACCAGAGGTGGAAGTTTCTCTCCCTCCTGCCTGTTCCCAAATACCCAGCAGCTGCTTCCCAAATAATTGACTTGGAGGTTTAATATTACTTATAAATGCTCAGCCAGTAACTCAGGCTTATTACTAGCTAGCTCTTACATTTAAATTAAACCATAATTTTTATCTATGACTAGCCACGTGGCTTGGTACCTTTTCTCAAAACAGCATTCTCATCTTGCTCCCTCTGCATCTGGCTGGTGACTCCTGACTCTGCCCTTCCTCTTCCCAACATTCTTAGTTTGGTTGCCCCGCCTACACTTCCTGCCCAGCTACTGGCCAATCAGTGTCTTATTAAACCAATTCAAGTGACAAGTCTTTACAGTGTACAAGAGAATTATTCTACAGCATACAACTGATCCTAATTATGAGAACTATGTAGAAATAATAGTTGACTGAATGTATTAAACATTTAACTCCAAAGTATGAGAATTGTATGTACATGTTGTAAAGAGATTGCAGAGAGCTGAGCTGTGTGTTCATTTGTTTTTATCATCAACTGGAATGCTAAATAAATACTGTCAGAGTTGTAGAAAACCCACGAGGAAGTGACGTGCACTTTGGATCTCACACAAGATTGTATGCTCACAAGAAATTTTAGTCATTCTTTTACATCTAATAATTAAAATAACTGAGAGATGATAAGTTAAGATCTGAGCTATTTCACTCTAAGTATTATTCAACTAAACTGTATCTTTAGTGAGTATTTTGGTGGTGGGGGTTCCAGTCAGTGAGTCTTTTTGGAATCCTGAATGTCCACATTTTAATGCTTTGAATTTTTATGAAACGGTGACTTCATACTTCACTCCTGAAACCAGGAACACTAACCTCATCCCTTGGGAATTTTTGCCGTGCAATTGATTTCAAGACTTGTTGTGGAATAATTTCAATTAGCAAATATGTATTGCTTAACTGCTTAGTGGTGATTCTTCTGTGGGCCCTCATTAAGACCCATCAGATTTTGTTCAGATCGAATTGAACCATTGTTTAATAATTTATTTTGAATTTTTAGTTTGGGGATTCAAATCCACGCCTTTTATCCTGGCATGATGCCCCCTGTTGTGTTGCCTGTCGTTTTCACCGTGGAAGCTCGCTCCTTTTTTCTCTAACCTGCTTTAGACATGGCTCTTCCAACCTTGCTGAGGGTACCTCCGCATGTCTTTCTCTTCTACACTATAAGTTTTCCTGGGCTTATGTCCATTCTTCTTTGTACTCCTAGTAACCAACACAATGTCGGAACCTTGCTGGGTTGAGAGACACTTATGATTAGTACTCTATATCTAAGTATTTGGGAGCTGGAGAGATGGCTCAGCGGTTAAGAGCACTGACTGCTCTTTTAGAGGACCTGGGTTCAATTCTCAGCATCCACATGGCAGCTCACAATTGTCTGTAACTCAAGTTCCAGAGGGATTTCATGCCCTCTTCTGGCCTCCACAAGCACTACATGCACATGGTACACAAACATATATAGCAGCAAAACACCATACAAATTTTTTTAAGTGAAAATAAGTGGGAAATAGTGGGGCTGGGAAGATAACTAAGTTGGTGAGGTCCTTGCTTCACAAACAAGAGGCCCTGAGTCCAGATTCCCAGCACTCAGGAGCAGCCAGTGTGAGGATACACACCCCCACCCCAGTGCAGAAGCAGCGTGAAGATCTCTGGGGCTCTTTGGCCACCAAGTATAGCTAAATCCGTGAGCTCCAGGTTCAGTTAGGTACCCTGCCTCAGAAAACTAAGGTAGAGAGCAATTGAGAAAGTTACCCTCTGTTGACCTGTGGTATGCACACAGACACAGAATGTAGGTCCATCACTAATGTCAAAGCTGACCATGAAAGATAAAGAAACTGGACTAATCCAGTATTTTCTTGAGAGAAAAATTGGTTCTGATGTATGCAAGTTCACAGAAAAGCTAATATAGTTTCCTCATCTAGAATACTCTTGTTTTGTGTTCTGTAGCAAAATATCATTGACTGGGGGATTTGTAATAAAGTTATTATCTTTTGGAGGCTGGAAGTCCGAGATCAAGGAAACCACATCCTGTGAGGGCTTTCTTACCTGATCACGTGGCAGAAGCGGTCACATGGCAGAAGCTGTCACATGGTAGAATAGAGCATACAGTCAAATTCTTAGCCTTGAGCCCTTACAATGGGCTAAACCCACATGTAAAGGTGGATTCTCATGACCTAAACCTTTCCCATCAGATGCACCTCAAATCCTTCTGCATGTTAGGACTGTGTTTCCTATACACATGGTTTGGGGCACACTGTCAGACTTAGCAAATAACCTTGACAATAAGCTGGGTGATTGAAGTGGAGATGACCCACACTTTTTAAAAAGTGGTCTTTGTCCCTGAAAGCATTCAAATGAAACTGTTCAGCCGGTTGTCTGGCTGATCTGGAAAAGATTCTTGGATTTGGTGTCATATAAATCATCAAGTCTGCATTCTTAAGGTTGTTGCTTGGCTTGCTTGTTTGAGAACTTTAAAAAAGCAACTCAGATGCTGTCACAGCATTTTAAATGTCCCTTAAGTTCAGTAATGCTTATTTTAGAATGATGTCCTCATTATTTTATTCACATTACTTGAGAGTTTATTTATTGAGAGCCTGTGAGTAATAAGTGAAAGCATATTTGCAAGGTTTTCTTTTCTCAGCTAAATATGCATAAAGACCTCCTTCGTTGCAGTGGAATTTGAAGCTCCCCCTTGGAGCAGGGCGCTGCTCCATGGCAGGTGCCTTGTGCTGTGACTCCAGTCTTTGGTCAAGCAGGCATGGGCTTCCAGGGACCCTCTCTCTTGGCTTTCGTTTTCTTTGTTGAAGAATCCGGTGGGAAATAGAAAGCTCAGGGTCTCCTCTCATCTAGAAATGTGGACTCTGATGTGGCCCTTGGGGAAGGTGTGTTAATCCTCTCAGGCACTCTCAGGCAGAGTCTGTCTTTTCAGTTAGGTGCCATGTCTTAATGCTCCTTAACTCTTTCACTCTTTTTTTAATGGGTGTGACGGGCTCTTACCGTGTCGTCTAGGTAAGCCTGAAACTCTTGGTCCTTCTGCCTTGGCCTCCTGAGCGCTGGGGTCACAGGTGTGCACCACCACACTCCTGGCTTAGCGACTTTTCTTGCTGCTGCAACTAAATACCTGAGGAGGAAGGGTTTGCTCTGGCTCTCCGCCCCAGGGAAAGGGATCATGTGGGAAGGTGGAGCTACAGTACCAGGCTGCCCTCAGACTGTGCCCATAGATGCGAATTCAGTCCAGGACTCTCTCCTATGGAGTTGGGTCCGCTGTTGAGGTGATTCTTCCCACCAAAGTGAAGCTAAGCTAGATAATAATACCTCAGAGGCTTGTCTCCTAGGAAGTTGACAAACATTGTTAGTCATTACACCCAGCTTCTTTCTCTCTTTCTTTTTTTTTAGTTAAAAAATTTTTCGTATGGGCTGGAGAGACGGCCCAGAGGTGAAGAGCACTGGCTGTTCTTCCAGAGGTCCTGGGTTCAATTCCCAGCACCCATGTGGTGACTCACAACCATCTGTAATGAGATCTGATACCCTTCTCTAAATAAATAAATAATCTTAAAAGGAAGGGAGGGAGGGAGGGAGGGAGAGAGAAAGAGAGAGGGGGAGAGAGAGAGAGAGAGAGAGAGAGAGAGAGAGAGAGAGAGAGAGAGAGA